GCTGCACCAAACTCTTTAATTCTCCACACTTTGAATTGGTATTGAAGGCATCTAATGCTCAAACTATTGAACAAATTCTCTTGAATATTGTCTGTGATAAGGATAACACAAAATCCATCATGAGAAACATTTTGAAGAGAAGACATCCAAAGACTGCAGGTAGTCGTCTTACAGTTCGCTTGTTCCTTGCTGAAAATGCCTCTCTGATTGAGAGAAATCCATCCATTTTCTTTGGGCTTGTCAAGGAAATGTTCCAAATCAATAGAAACAGATTTATTGAGACAAAGGATGCTCCTACTGAAGAAGCTGCAACACAGTCATCCTCTTCAAATGGTGAGACTGCCAAGACTTTACTGTACAAACTTGTTTCATACATTATTGAAAAACCAAAAGAATCTAGAATCTATTTGGAAGTTTTAGGCACCTTTGTTAGTGCTTGTGATTTGTATGAAAGCCTCATTGAATATACCAATGATAATTTGGATTCCAATATGAAGGGAGATAATAAGTTTATTCACTTCCTTCTTACTTCTTTCATGGATCCACAAAGTACTGTTGGTGGTACTTCTCTGCTTATTGAAATTTGCTCAAAGAAACCACATTTGGTATTCAATGAAATTTCAAATATTTTGCAAATAGAAAGTTCACATAAGATAATAACCTTCATCGGTTCATTCCTCCTTCAATTGGCTCTTTCAGTTTCTAACCCTAATCATTTGGCAATTTTGATGATCAAGTATGATATTCTCAGACTATTAATTGCTTCATCTGAGAGAATTGATTCTCAAAAAGAAGCCGTCATGCATCTTATCCTTAGTGTTGTACAAAAGTTTGTCGAATCCACTCCAAAGAATTATATCATTACCAAATCCAAAAATTCATCGGCTGCCACTTCTGAATCCAACAATACTGCTTCAACTACTGAATCCAACAATGATGCTAGCTCAAGTGAACAAGCACCAAGTGACGAAGAACAAGTTAATACTCTTGAGTTAACCAGAGAGAGACAATTAGCCCTTTCTCGTATTGTTTAAACTTTTTTTAATAAATTCAATGTTATGATATTTGATATTGTTTAGTGCTGGGCATCATACTCTTATGCCTTTTAAGTCCTGCTAAAGTATTGTCCTCTGTTGTTGAGACTTGCGTCGACGAGTTAACTTGACCAATTTTTGCCATCTCTTCTGGTGTTGGCATATTGTGAACAATAACTCCACCTATTGGCATAATTGGATTTGGTGTTTTGTCATTCAATATACATTCGTTTAACCATTTCTGCACATTCATGTATTTATCCCCTTGTTCTGAGAAAGATATTTTAAAATCACCATTTGGTTGTTGATTTCCTGAGGCTGCTGTCGTCCTCCTTGAAGGATCTTTTGAGCTTTCATCATTTGGTTTTGCTGCTGATCCATTTTGACCTTGCTGCGTGGGGTCAACATTTGAATCTCTATGTTTCTGATCCTGTCCCGAAAGGGCCTCATGCTTATCTGTTCGTGGAGCTATAGGTTGTTTTTCAACTGGTTGTTTAAGAGAAACTCGTGAGGGTGAAGCCCCTATAAACTTATTTTGCTGTCCTTCTTCTTGAGGAGAAGCTGGCTCTAGAGTTGTTGTGCCAATATTCGAAGCACATATTCCCATTATAAATTATATAGTTGATATTCTTAAAAATACATTAGGTTCCTTAGGAAAGAACGTTAATTTCTGCTCAAAACGTTCTCTAATTAAATTTTACTAGTAGTTAGACAAAATTCCTAATACTAATGATATGAAATCCTTCTCTATACGTTTTCCAATCAACAGCTGAAGTAGATGAAAGGCCACCAACAAGATATAGAGAGATGAATTTGAGAAATTTACAGGGTCAAAATAACCAAGATGAAGTGGGCCTATTTTTTTACAATTGTAGTTTTGCTCAAAAAGCGTTGAACGGCCTTAGTTGCAAAGCAGCATCAAATGCTCGTTAGAAGCGTTGGCGCCACAAAGGTTTCAAAAATTTGGCCTCCAACAATATTTTCTCATCCTAACATACAAATTTGTCTCTCCCTCTCAAAAGTGTTTCAATTGAACGCTATTGGGTCATCGGTCCCTCTTTATCACCTCCTTTCATTGCCTCTCATAAGATACCTCATCTCCCCTTAGTATATATTATTATAGATTGGAAAATATTGGAAAAAGTGGTCTGTGACGGTGATTGAATTTGTTGTGATTCTTTGTGTCTCAACATAGTGTCTCTTGCATAATTGGCTGAGTAATACTGCAAAGTTCCTTTTCCTTGGGTTGGGAGAAAACCTGAAAAAGGGCCCTTATTGTCCATGATAAAGTTTTTGTTCTGAACTTGTTGGTTCATTCTAATTTGTAAAGGTACTGTTTAAGAAGCTGAAAGGTATACATTCAGTCATTTAAGTACATATTATTTAACCTCAGTAATAGGACTTGGATTCAAAGTTTCAAATAACTGATTACAATATTCCAAATTGTTTCACTTTCTCCAAATGTATTAGCCACACTCTACTACTTATGAATCTGAGATAAGAATCCAGTAAATTAGAGTAAGCTTCTGTAATAATTCCTTTCATGAAATCTGGATGATTGATTTCCTTGAATGCATTGAGTAGTAATTCTCTGTCTGTGTCGTTCTGTTGAAGCGGTTCAGGGAATGAGTTAATCTTGGGTGTTTCCTTGATAAATTTTGGAAGATTGATCATTTTAATTGAGTGATGGTGAAGAATGTGCTCAATAAGAATGTAGGACTGTATTTCAGAGTCAATCAATTTTTTAGAAATATTGACCTCGAATACAGAACTATTCTGAATGAGATAGAGTGTTATTATTTCTCTCAATTTCATAATCTTATATCTAAGTTTTTGGGGAGGTATTCTTTGAAATCTCATAATATCCTCCATGAAGAGAAGATTTTCTTGAGAAAACTCAGAAGTCAAATACTTGTAAAACAACTGTCTCTCTATTGGATGTGTTAGAATAAAATCTATACATTCAATACCAGGTGCAAACCTTTTCAAATTCAATACAGTCATTTGATCTAAATTTTCATCTTGTTTGTTTAACAATTTCTTTTCTTTCCAAGTTCTGTAAATTGTTGCAAAAATTGAAATTCCAGGCATAATTACAATCATAAAAAATTCAATACCAAAAAGGGATATCAGATGTGATATCAAACCTTTGATCTTGTCATCTCCTGATGGATCCCAAAATATGACATATAAGCAAACAGACAAAGCACCAAATAAAAATAACAATGAGCATTCTAACCTGTAGAGAAACAAGTCGGTGTCAATAAAGTAGTATATGAAAAAGTTTGGCATATTTTCTTGCCGGCTATTCCTCTTAATTGTGTCCTTTTGTATTCTATATTCAGATATTGATTGATAAATATCCAAAGAATACACAAAAACGAATACAATTGGGAATAAAAGTCCAAACAAGAGACAAAATGTCCCAATGGTTGATCTTTTCTCAGAAGTACACACTCCCTGGATCGTCTCAAAAACAGGAAAAAGAGAAACAAATTGGCCCGCCTGCTTCCAAAACAATAATAATAGAGCAGCAATGATAAACCAAATTAGAAACAATCCAACAGAAAATACTATTTGAATAACCTTCTTCTCTTCTATAAATTGCATTACTTTCAGTGCTTTAGTATTCTCTGTAAAGTTTTCATATCCTTCCGTTGCTAATCCATTTTCCTTGTCTTCTGTCCCAAAAGTGTCTACATCAGTAAGAAATATTTCATCAGCATCTGTTATAGCACTTGAAGTTAAGTCATCCTCTGTATCATCACTGAAAGATATGTGAATATTAGTTGAACCACCCCCTTGTTGTTGAGATGTAGTCAAGGAAGTATCATTAGTCATGGTAGTGAGTTGACCGGTTGATTCTGGAGCTACTAGATTTTTGTCAATTTCTATTGAGTTTTCAACTGTTAATGTGGGATATCTCTTGTCTCCTATTGTGGAATTCTCAATAGTATTAAGTGTTACGGAAATAGCAGGATCATTTTCCACTAATTCAATTTCAACACTTTTAGGAACCAGTGTAATGTCATTGGTTGATTGAACGGTAGTGGTTGGTTGCGGTTGATTCGACATGACTGTTTTCGCTCCTTTTTCTTTGATTCTGTCTAATGAATCCTTAAGGGTCATTTTTTTCTTAGTAATGATTCTGTCCAACATGAATTTGGTCATGTGAGTAAAGTAAAGTACGATTGAAAATATGTAAATTATTACAATACCAAAAGTAACTGAGTAACACATGATATTCTCATAATATGTAATATTAAACATCCAATCTGGGATACCATTTTGAGAATACTTTTCGAAAAACTCGAAAGGATTCATCTTCGTTTTCGCCTCCAAATATTGATTCCAGTACTGTAAGAATATTATCTTTCGAACAGGAATAGACTCTATTAAAGATCTCGAGTTAGTACAGAGACCCAATATTAGAATAGAAAATGATACTGGTAACTTTCTTCTGATGGGTTCTCTCTTTCTGTAAATAATACAAAGCGGAAGTAAAGATATTAGAAAGACCATAAATAACAGTCTGAAAATAACAATTACTATTGATGAAGGTAAACTCTCCCAAGTCATTAGCAGATGTGTTGTCAATAATTGAAAATTTTCCTCAGTTGTCTGATAGACGATTGACTGTTCTCCACTTGCAGAATCATTCACCTCCATTCTTGTAATAATTGAAGGTGAAGTCACATTAGACAACAATTTTAAAAATTCATCCAGTGAGAATAGTTCCAA